GCAGATTTAGAGAACAGAACCAGGTCATCTGCATATAAAAGAGTACTAATCGGTTTGCCATTCAACATTACATTATTGTTGTTACACGAATTTAATGATTCAGGCAGATCGTGAAGATACAAATTAAATAATGTAAGGCTCAGCATACAGCCTTGTTTAACACCAATATAACAGGAAAATGTCGGAGAAATGTGTCCATTTACTTTGATTGCTGATTGATCAGTGGAATACATCGATTGTATCCCTCTTAGAAAATGTCTTGGTAAATTATGAACGCACCCTTAGAGTCAAAACACCTGTACACATTTAAGAAAGATCTTTGGAAAAAGCCGTTAAGAGATTCTTAAGTGTTCTTCTAACTAAACTTCTATAAAACCTTTTCATACACTCAAGAAAACTGATCAAATCTACCGCCTGCAATTTAAAGGCGAATGAGTTTGATTAATTTCATTCTCCTACCCAGACCCCTCTCGTTTCTAGCGAAAAATCGGAGAATCAATTTTTCGCTAGAAACGAGAAGTATCTGGGTACGAGAATTGATTAAGTTATGACAAAATGGCCAAACTGTGTGTAATGTCCATGCTTTCAGTCCTATGCGCAGAAAAATACGCAGTTGAAAGCTAGAAAAATACCCCAGAAGCAGAAAGATTATTGCAAGTTTTGGCAGCGCGAAAGAAAAATCCCCCGTGGAGGTCCTACATCATTTTTTCACTAAGTATTGCGCGAGTGTTGGCAATTGCTGTGCAAACCCAGTACTCAGACGTCTGCAGAGGCGAAGCCATGATTGTCCGAAGGGGGTCCCAAATTCAAAAATCCGCCATTTTGTTTGAGCCCCCGAAACACAGAACCAAAAAAAATCACCTTAAAAGACCGACTTTACGTTTTACCTTTTGTTTATATTAAAATCAAACTTGAACTTGGTTTACATACCTGACGAAAACCAACAGTTCTGAGTCGAGAGTTTGTAGCACGTGTTCAAAACTGTTTTAGATCTGATATAACTATTCATTTTTGAAGTATGATCACAGATCGCCAGGACAGGTTTTTATTTTCGCTGGTCACTTTTCACAGACTTCATGTGACACCTCAGTTTCGCACATTTATATAGCGCTGTATACAGCCATTTGCAAAAATTATGGCCGCTTCCAATGTATATACAAGTATATCAAAAGCATATTAAAAATTATGGGATATCATCCCTGATATTTGTCTCGAGTTGTCTATCACTAGGGCTATCTGAAAATATCATGAAAGATATCCCTCCGTATCTGATATACTTTTGATATACTTGTATGCATATTTGAAACGGCCACAATTATTGCAAATGGCTGTATGGTTGTAAAAGCAATCTGTCATTCACTTCTCATTGTAAAGCGCCTTTGACTATGTCCATATAGGAAAGGCGCTATATAAATTCATAAATCATTCATTCATTCATATATGTACTGTTTAATAAACGAGCAGGAGTGTTTTATCGTGTGTAAAACACGAGGCGCAGCCGAGTGGTTTTAGACCCGACAAAACACGATCTGCGAGATTATTGAACGGCTTAGAAAACTCATGATGTTTGTTCTCATAGTGTACCGATTTCTTTACGAAATGAACCAAGTTTGATAGAGAAAATCCAAGTTAAAGTTTATGCAAATGAAGACGAATCTTTATCAGATATAAAACCTCCTTCATGGTCATGATTTCTAGTGTTTTCTTCATGAATTATTAATGAGTTTTCTAAATATAATTAGAAAACTCATTAATAATTCATGAAGAAAACACAATAGAAATCATGACCATGAAGGTGATTTTATATCTGATAAAGATTCGTCTTCATTTGCATAAACTTTAACTTGGATTTTCTCTATCAAACTTGGTTCATTTCGTAAAAAAATCGGTACACAATGAGAACAAACATCATAAGTTTTCTAAGCCGTTCAATAATCTCGCAGATCGTGGTTTATCGGGTCTAAAACCACTCGGCTGCGCCTCGTGTTTTATACCCGATAAAACACTCCTGCTCGTTTATTAAACATTACATATATATCCGCTACGCGTCGTGCTTCTCCTAACAATTCTCTCGTGTTCTGCCAATCCCCGCGTGCTTTAAAACTGCACACAGCACGCGCGCGCGTTTTCTATTTCTTCAATATATACATTTGTATTGCGCTATATAAATATGCAAAGTGTCATGAAGCCTGTGAAAATTGACCAGCAAAAATAAAAACCTGTCCATCATTGAAATAAAAATATAAAACTCTTTAGTTTTTGTGTTATCAACCTCTAATATTATTAGCAAAGTTGTTTTTCATTTGGTGGCCTGGAAACCCATCATTTCATGAGGAAAAGTAGTCTCTCTCGCATCCGTTTTTAGTGTCGGTTGGGGAGGGAGCGTTGCGTGACGACCGACACTAAAAACGGATGCGAGGGAGACTAGAGGAAAAGTGACACCTCAGTTTTTCAAATATCCTCGATTTTGATTGGCTAACATTTTCTCTCAGATCAGCAGGGTAAACTGTAACTGTATTAGTGATAGACCACGAGTATCGGTTTTGAAAACCAAACAAGGTGGCTAATTCTCGTTTTCAACCTAATTTCAAAACTGTTGAAAAAACGTGCTAATCTTCGTATGTCGCGTATTATGTAAATTAGCAAAACACCTTTCTTAGCTTCAGTTTTTCTTTGTTTTGTTTTTATCTAATAATTAATATTCTACCTTACATATGAAAAGTTAATTAAATATTGAACTAGTCATACTTGGAATTGAGCTCCTGAAGATAAATAAAAAGAAAAATATTTAATGATATTTTGAATAAAAGTTTGCTATAGACTCTGATATAATTGAATAAACATAATTGAAGATACACCTACTTGCAAGAACGTTGTCAAACGATATTAGAACATTAGTAATTTAGTGAGAAAGGAATACATTAAAAGACAAAAGAAAAAGTTCAGCTTCAGTGATCTTCTTTTGTTTTTTTTAATATAATTCCTATCCCACTAAATCACTAATGTTCTATTTTCGTATGACAACGTTCTTGCAAGTAGGTGTATCTGTTTGCAAAGTTCTGATGATATTACTGTGGTTTTCCATATTCTGCAAACTCCGACATTTCAACGGCTTGTACATGAAAAAGACCGACTTTATTTTTGATTGACGGCAGCGAAAAACCAAATTTCAGCGTGCAGCTTGTGAGTACCAAGTTTGCAGAATAGGGAAACCGCAGTAATAGAGGCTATCCGGAAGGCAAAGCTACTTTACATCTTTCAGTCCACCCCATTTCAAGTCTACACTAGCGTGACACTGGCGTAGACTTTGTCAAATCTTATAATCTCTTTAGAGTACTAAGCAGACTCACTCTTGTATAACACAATATGACATACCTGTACTGCTTTGAGGATTCTCTGTAAATCATCAGCTCTAACTGTAACTTCATTGGTTTTCGAAAGGAACTAAAAAAAGATAATATTTATAAAAATCAATAAGTATTAATTAATAAATGTGAGTAGAATTCTAATAAATGTGCATGAGATATACAGTATTATACTGCAACAACGTTGACAAATTGAAAAAACACTTTGTTGGGTTGAATAGGTTAAATCATTGAAGCTAAGACTGAGGGGTATTCTGGGTAGTCTATCTCCTGGTTATTTGTAGTCCAGAACTGGACCCACTTTTCTCACTAACCAATTATTTTATATCAAAAAAAAAAGAAAAGAAAAGAAAAGGAAATACACATATGCAAGAAAACTTATTTTTGAACATAAAAATAAACTCGTATCCTTGGATTAAAACGAGACTATTTTGCCAAGGTGTCCTCTGTAATGTAATCACAGGACTAACAATAATGGCTGGTCAGTTGCTGGTCATGATGAGCCGCAAAAATTAGTTTTACCTTGGACATACCTCGTTTACTGGTCAAAATGACTAGCAAGGCAAAGATTTGACAAGGCAAGTTCCAATTCTGGCCAGACATCCTCAATGACTAGTTGTTATTTTTAACACTGTATAATTATTATTTTTTGTGAAGCATACCTTTAGCCTTGCAATCACAGCTTCCAGCAGCATCAGCAGTCCAATCTTTGCCGATGCTTTTAATACAATATTCACCCCATCATGTGGTTCTTCGTCAGACGTACTAGCTGTCACCATTACAGTCATACTGCAACAGTTGGCCTTGCTTGTTCGAGTGCTTGTTCTCACATCTTTTTTGGAGAAACTTTTATCATTTAAATCTCCCAACAATAAATGAAGCACTTTTTCCTCCATATTGTCTTTGGATCCTATACTTGAAATGCTATGTAAAAATGTCTTAGAAACTGGGATTACTATTGCACATAACTCATCATCCACGGTGTGTTGTTTTAAAGAAATACTCTTGTCGTCTTTGCAGGATGATTGTAAATGTTCCAGATATAAACCTTGATTTGCTACAGTAAATTTGCAAACATCATGGCTCAAAAAGTCAAACAAAATTCTAGCAAGACTCAGGATATCAATCACATTTTCCCCCAATGAAATCACTAGACTGTTGTTGTCCACATTCAGGCAAGGTTGCACTTCACTTGGTAATGTTGATGGCAATGAACTAAGGTCATAGCACAGGAATGTCTCTACTACTATGCAGTGTCTTGGATCTACTGAATCAGGCAGAGTTATTACAAATTCTCTTGTTGATTGTGGAGTTAGGGACTCCAAAGCTACTGCATATGAAAGGACAGAGTTTTTGTTCTGAACTGATATCAAAACAGACCATTGGCTAGATAAAGAAATACTACTTTGGTTAATCAGTCCTAATTTCAGAGAAAATGATAACCTATTTGTTAAGATACTATCTTCTGAAGCAAGTATAGGTACTACATTCCAACAAATCCACTGATTTGACAGATTATTACCCATCGTACTGTTACCAGTAGGACTGGTTGCTTTAGTCATCAATGTAGCTGCATAATTTAGTTGCTCCAATACTTTGTCAATGGATTCTAAATCCTGTTCCAACACATTTGTTTGTAGTGCAACATTTTCTATTCTAACAAGCAATTCTCTCAGTTGAAGGCCTGGTTGTTGTGTAAAAGAAAATGTACTATCATGTCCAGGTAAACTGATTCCTAATAGTTTACCCTTGGTTGTCATAGCAACAGCTTTAATAGATGTTGACGTACTATTAGCATCCTGGACATTTGGGTGAAGACAATAGACACAGCAAATGTCTGGTATGCAAATAAAAATACTTGACAGAACAATGCTAACATCATCCTTTTCAGATGTTTTGTGCTTGTTTACAGACAGTGTACTAATGCAAACTTCTCGTCCATTGGAATGAATGATACGAGTAGAGTCTTTTGAAGACTTGACATTTGAGCAATAAATAGGGCCAGCAAGGTTGTGTTTAGAAAAACTACAAGTTTCATCAACCTGGTAGGCCAATACACACTTCCCCTTGCTTCCAATCATGACCACTACATTATAAACTGGGTTTTTTTCATTCACAGACATGAACTCATTCTTGGTACTTCTGCTGCTTGTATGAAGCTGAGGTAATTGAATCAAATGGAGTCCAACAACACTTTGTTCCAAATGATATAGAAGTTTAAAACTAGACTTTCCTATCGTCTCACTACCAGTTTGGTCAAGATCACAAGTCAATACTTGTCCATCAGGAGTTCCTAATAATAAGAGACAGTTAATGGCAGTTGTTTTCAATTCATCAAATCCTCCTCTAGGCACTAACAAATTGAATAGTTTTCTTTCTAAGATGTTGGAAGGCAAGTCATTGTCTGTCTTTTTGCTGTAACAGAGTAATGGGATTGGCCATAGCTTGTCTTTATGCAAATGTGCTGGAGAGTTCAAGGAAACTTTAAAAGCTGTCTGATTGTAGGAGACAGTATTATTCTCTTGTTTTGATGAAGCATAGTGTGAAATGAAACACCCAAAGTCATTCACACCAAACGAAATTAAACAATCTTCCAAAGTGAATATAGCTAGAATCTTTGGTTCAAGAAGGATTGCTTGTGAAGCTAATATTTCAGTTATGTCAACTGAAGACTCTGTGTTAAAAACTTGATTACAGTTTTTTCTTTCTTTAGAAAGGAGTTCTGTGAAGATGGCTTGGCTTGATGCAGAGCCTGACTCTTGATTACTCCCATGTTTATTCCTATAAAGTATAAGAACAAAGAAATTAAAATTATCTTAGACACACCAATTTTATTCAAAATAGAAATTTCATTTTTTGTTAAAATGTTACAATATTATTATGAAAATCAAATGGATATGAAATGAAAATCTCATACTCATTGATTATTCATGAGGTCATTGACCAACCAGGGTTTTTTATTTGCACCATGTGCAGTAGTTTAAAAACCCCATCAATTACGACCGTACCCATTTCAAAGTTCTAGTACTTTGAAATATTTCAAAGTCCTACTACTCGGAAATATTTCAAAGTACTAGAACTTTGAAATAAAAACAAACATACATGTAACAAAAAGAGTATAAGATGTCGTGTCAAATACTCGTCGCTATATTTTATTGTGGTTTCAAAATCCTTGTGGAATTTCAAATGCCTCGGCTACACCTCACCATTTGAAATTACACTCAGATTTTGAAACCCCAATAGAATACAGCAGTATTTTAAACATTACCATATGAAAAAGGAGCTTAGAAAATCTGAGCTGCAGATAAGATTTGAACCCACAACCTTCTGTACACTAGTCCAACACTTGTGGGTCATCAGGGCATAAAATAACAGCCAGACAATGTCCACCCAAAATTGGAACTTTTCTGGTCCAATCTTTCTTTTTCTTGCCAGTTATTTTGACCAGTAACCTTGGCCAGAAACAAGGTATGACTGAGTTAAAACTAATTTGGCTGGTCATAATGACCGGTGACTTACCAGCCATCATTTTAAGCCCTGGTCATGGGTACAAACCCATCTGGAGCTCAGATTTTTTCTAAGCTCCTGTTTTACATGGTTGCCATGAATAATTGAAATTTCATGAATTTCCTCCATAAATTACTTTTTATCTACATTTGCCTCTTTACAAGGAGGGATGGTAACTCTAGCACTAGGGTTACCCTAGTAATAGAACCTAACTTTTACTCTAGCTTCTATATGTTTGCTCTTTTATGGAAGCTTGGATGGCATAGCAGTGAGAGCGCTTGCCTCTCACCAATGCGACCCGGGTTCAAGTCCTGACAAGCCCGGTGTTGTATGTGAGTTGAGTTATTTGTTGGTTCTCTCCTGTGCTTCGAGGGTTTTTCTCCGGGTTCTCCGGTTTTCCTCCCTCCTCAAAAA